GATATTGTGCATGGAATGTTGTATTATCCCAATTGTACAACAATCCTAGATAATCGTATTTGTTTAGAAGTAATATGTGAACATTACTAACGATAGATGTATTGGACAGATCAAACATGCAAAATCAGATATAGCAATTCCTTTTACAAAAGACATTCTTAAGAAACCGAGAATTCCATGCACAATATCTCTAGATTTCTTTTTTTCCCCTTTTCTGCAAAATAAACATTTGTTTCCATTTTGGCAAGCACTAACATTAATAGTACAGCTGTTGAACTGAAACACATATTCAAACATCAAACCCAATCAATTCTCAGAAGACTCTGAGCTTGCTAGAAATGCTGACAAAAGTAACTGGTTATTTCCTTAGATAGCAAGGAACACATAACTGGAGTTTCTGAATGTTAAGCTGACTAGATTCAATGCAAAGAGTATTCAATAGTTGTGTATATCACAAGGTACTTATGTTATACTGAACGACTGAAATAAAAATAGTAAAGTTTTCAAGGTTATCATAACACAGGCAGATTAGAAGAAATAATCATTACGGATATAGGAAATGAGCACACTTGGAAATGCAACGCTCACCTTCACCCTCTGTGATTAAATAGGCAGCACCGAATTGAATGTATGTGGAAACAAAAAAAGGGAAGGGAATTGAGTGGATGGTGGAATGCATGAAATTATACACAAGAGGGATCTTTTTTTAGAAGTCTCCATTAGCCTGCCACCTACCAATGGATCATTATGATTTTCCAACAAAAAGCAGAGGAATGAAAATAGCAGTAATAAAATGTTCCCAGATATATATCAAGCAACTACGCATCTGTTTCTCATGATTCAGGTGGACTGTGTCAATAGGCAGGACCATTATGTTTTTTATTATTGTACATGAGATTTATTAATTCAATAGTAAATGATTAGTAAAAAGTTTCCATACAGTAGCTAGTAAAAGGAAGAGGGACAAATTTGTGAAATATGGACAATTTTCTTCCTGCTCACCTTGTTTCTGGCTTTCTATTGTGCATATTTATAAGGGTAAAAATAAACCACCTACCCGACATTGCAGCTCATACTCCTGAATGATTTCAGCAAAGCGTGCTTCTTGATCAAATAGTTCCGTACTGTATGGATCCAGGAATCCCAGCTGAAGCAAATAAGATTGTTGTTTTTTTAAAAAAAAATAGTATATTGTTTCAAAATTGGAAAGAAAGCCTTTGAAGTAAGCTCTAAACAAATTGAGTTACATTTTATTTTTAATTTATTTCATTTATAACACTGTCCAAATCTACAAAACAACTCTGGGCAGTGTAGAGTAAAATCAAATCGAAAGTACCAGAGGTACAGCAGAGCTTCTGTTGAGTTGTCATCATGAGCAGATCAAACTTGTACAGAAATAGTTATGCCAGAGGAGCTTTTTAAATATTTTTGTCTTTTTATTTGTGCTTGCAGACATTTTACCAATGCTTACATGAAAAGTAAGCGATTGTTTTCTGTAAATATGTGACTATATTCAGAATAACTATTTAAAAGAAATTATTAAAAAACATTTTAAGAGGGTCTAGACCTTTTTAATGCAGACTTTTTCAGCCAAAAGGACTGAGAAAAAATGCAATTCTTCATCATTACTAACAAAAAGACTGAATATTTATGTAGGAGATACTATAGCCACAAGGCTATACATCCAAGACTTTTACTCATTTGATTTTCACACTAGTCAAATGGACTTAGATTAGAGAAAGAAAGAAAAATCATTTTTTACCAATCTGGAATTACCTTGTCTTTCAAAATAAAATTAAGATCTCCTTGAAGTTTCAAAACCTGATTTTCGGATTCACTCAGTTTTTGGACCACTTCAGCAACTTCATTCTGTAAGCGACTATTTTCCTTTAAAAATACATTCACATGGAAGAAAATGAAAGATAAAATCTAAATTTTGCAACTCTTCAGCAAGAAAGCAGCAGCACACTAAATATAGTAATATAGAAAAATCTGTGTTCAAAACCAATATTGTCAAAACTGCAATTTGATTAGTGCTGTGCGGCTACTTACCATGTTGGTTCACAAACCAGAAAAAGTATTGTATGTTTGAATGCTCTTCTGTGTAACAATGACCTACCATATCTGAACTGGAACCAAGGAAAAGCAAGACCAACATCTCCATATTTGACCTGCTACAGGTAATCCTTGCTTAATAATCACAATTTGGCCCAGAATCATTCTGTTGTTGTGGTTGAGCTGACTTGATTTTATGACCATATTATATTATAAAACAGGTCACTGCTTTGTTGTTGAACCACGAGGTTGTTAAGCAAATCCAGCATATTAAATTGATGTTTTTTAATGTTTTCATCTAGAAATCATAGTCCTATGACCATGGACATTAACCGATCATAAATGTGAGACAATTGCCAGACACCCAAAATGCAATCAGGTGACCTGAGGGTGGCAGCTGTAACTTTGAGGACATATCATAAGTAACTTTTTTTTAGTCTATTGTAACTTTGAACGGTTAAGTGTGGACTATCTATACTTTTACACAATTAGAGAGCCTTTACAATGAAAAACTGAGTAAATGATTCATTCCCCAACCCATCAAGTCTACACTAAGAACTGGCACAGTCCTAAGACTTTGCATATGGTGCAATTCTGCAGCCTTAATGGATGCAGAATACCATTCCTGAACAAGCCCAGCTTTTAGTCAATTAAAAAAACAGATCAACATTTTATCTCATGGCTGTGAACCTACATACAACTGGCTAGTGAAATTTCAGAAGTGACAAATTTAAGCTGGTAAGATTTGCATCGTATAGGGAAAGAACTATAGTTTAGTTTTATCTAACTCATTTTTCCTTGCCATTAACAGTGGGGCTAATTGTACACCTTGAAAGAAAATGGACAAAGACTCAAATAGTTTAATTTCTAAGACTTGGAATTCAACCTCCTTGGATATGCTATTTTACATGTGGTCAAGAATCTTCAATCCCTTCAAGCTCTTACCTTGATCATCAACGTCAGCTTTTTCCTTAGACTAGAGTCCTCCTCTTGAAGATCCCTGAAATCTGATTCTAACTTGGTTCTCTGATGATGCATTTGTTGCATGAGCAATTCCTGTTCCATCTTGACTTCAGACTTTATTGCCAGTAGCTTCCCTTTGAAATCTCGCTCAAGAGCTCTATAAAGAAGGAACATCACAGCTGAAATTTGCAAGCCCATTTATTATCTCATTTAAATATTAAATTGAAATACATTTTGAAAAAAAAACATCACACTTTGAAATAAGACAAATTATTTTTAGTACTTTTATTCATCAGTCATAGTCTACCTCCATTTGCCACCATAGGTTAGAAACAGTTTCAAGTGAAGAAATGTCTATAGAAATCAGATCAGGTTTTTTTAAATGACAATACTTTTTTTAATTATTGAAACAAGAACTCACATTTTGGGATGGTTAGATCAAAATATGTTAATATAATTGATTTATTTTGCCATTTGTCACTATGTGATTTCCCCCATAAGTTTTAATGAATTAGACATCTTACAAAATATTCATCCATTTATATTGATACATTGTCATATTGTATAAATAATTAAGTATTTATGAAATAGTTTAAACAGGGATAAAATATAATGTAATTCAAATTAAATAACAATGACAATGAATATTACAATTTTAAAAAAGAATTAAGAAACTACAAATAATATTTAGAAAGGGGATAGATATGAAAGAAAGACTGTCTTGACAGAAGTACCACCAAACCAATCGGAAAATCAGACCATCATCATTTTTATTGTGGCTGTCTATAATAAGAACTTAGTATTTTTATTTGGTATAAGTTTATATTGTGTAATAATCATTTTTCCCAATGACAAGAATCACCTGAGTTTACTCTCATTGTGATGCTCCAGAATACTATGGTTATCATCTACTTCCTTAAAAAGCTGGCAATTCATCTTTTTAACCTTTTCCAGCTCAGTTCTTGTTTTGTTTCTCTCAATGGAAATCCGTTCCAATTGTGCTCTAAACAGAAAGAATATGTGTTACTTACAACCCCTGTGTTGATCCTGTTAAGGTATCATAGCTCTGCAGACAATATATAAGTATAAATCTAATATATATAATCTCTCTCTGCAACTGGTTACACATGAAACTATTTAGCTAAACAATAATCTCATGTAATAGCACTATGCATCTTGATGCAAACAACAATTAGATGAATAGGCAGTTTACAATGATGACTGAAATTTCTACACACATACTATAAGACCATTGGTCTTAAAAGCCAAAACAAAAACGACTTACTGTAGATAATGAAGTTCATGCTTATAAGACGCAACAGCTGCCTGTTGAAGTCCATTTTTGGAAGCAATTAATTCATCATCAAGGATCATAGAAAGCTCTAGAAGGTTCACTCGCTCCTCCACATTATAATCTAGACTCTATAAAAAGACAAAGTCTGAAAATCAAGAGAAACTAAATCCTAAGAGCTGGCCCTTAAACTATTATTAATATAGCATTAGAATGTTGGCATTAAATAAATATTAAAGGGTAACAGTCATTGGGTTATTTAGTTATTGGATTGGATTAAAGATTCAACACAGAATGGATGAATTATTTAGGAGCAGGAAAGATATTAAACAAGACTAAAGGTTAGCAAGAAGGACAAACTGTTAAAGCTGTGATGTCAGAAAAATGTAGATTTGTATATTCGAAATAAAAGATAAGACTATTAAATACATCGTAATAATTATGACAGGAATTGATGGCAAATGGGTTAAACAAATGAACTTGTATGAACATGAGCAGAGAAGAGATTATAGATAGTCCTTGATTTGCAAGTTTGTTTAGTGACCATTTGAAGTTAAAATGGCACTACAAAAAATGACTTAAGACCAATAAAAATTCAGATGCTTGACAACTGACACATACCGGTATTTACACCGGTTGCAAAGTTCCCAGGTCATGTGATCCCTTTTGCGAATTTCTGACAAGCAAGGTCAATGGGAAAGCCTGATTCACTTAACAACCATGTTACTAACAATGATTCATTTAGCAACTGTGGCAAGAAAAGTGGTAACATGGGGCAAAATTCACTTAATAACTGTCTGACTTAGCAA